AGTCGACTATGAGAAACTCTCTAATCTAATTAAAACTACTCTCGAAGTTGACCTCACTCTAGAAATTCAATAATCGATAGGCGACTAAAATATGAAAAGTTTTTAACATTTTATAAGAATGTAGCAGAAAGAAAATTTGAAATTTTAAGCAATTGGTTAAATTATTTAGTTCCATTTCATTTACACATCAAAAATGCAATTCGATTAAAAACTATCGATTATGGAAGAATCTAAAAAGGAACCACCCTACTACTTATGAACTAACGCACTCTACTATGAACTACCGATAACTTACTTGTGTACAAAAATTATAGAAAATATATACATTTAATTCGAGGTAGACTTATTGGATTATTATGCCAAATTTAATTTCTCTAGCCCTGAGCTCGACACGATCATGCAAACAGGACATATGAAATGGGTTATTAGACAGTAAAAACAGCTACTAAATATATACATAATATATATTATCCATTTCCACCATTTTCCAACCGTGAGAAAATTTATATTATTTATATAGGTGTTTAAAAATGAGTTTGAAGGCAACCGAAGGAGTTTAAGCTGAAAATGAGTTTGACCGAAGCAAAGTTTAAGCTCACCCACAAAACCTTTGACCCCTATTTACCGGCGGGATGGATTTTCCAAAAAGTGTAAAACACGTCTTAAATTAATGTTTATCGAGAACTTTGGGAATGAATTTGAACCCAAAAAGCCGCCCATCAATTTGCGATCCGCATTTTCCACCAAGAACAGGTGGATTTTATGTAGTGTGAAAAACCTCTCAAATCAATTTTTACAATGTTCTTTGAAAATGAGGTTGATCAAAATGAATATTTGCACACAACCGTTTTCCGCCAATTTTCCATAGTTTTGGGTGGAATTTGCCTAGGTTCCGACTTAGGGTTAACTTACTTAATAACCAGCTCGTACGGATCACGAATCATTCAGGCAGTCAGTCAATAAATGAATAGTTAAGTCAGGTCAAACATTTTTATATTTATAGGGTCGCATATAATAAGTATCTGGTTATATACATTAATGTAACTTTATTCTGCCCGACATATTATTACCATATCAGTGCAGGGTATCAAAGAATTGATGCAGGTGCTGGCCGACTGGGCAAACCATGGTGACCAGGTGTCCACCTGGTTACGTCTTTCGCTGCTTCGAATGCAACAAAAAATGCAATGTCATGCATTAAACATGCAGCTACCGCTTCTCGGTGTGTGTGTGTGTGTGTGTGTGCGTTAGAGCAGGTGAGAAAAAAAGCTAAGACCAGAGTTTTTCATACGTTTTGCGTCATGGCGGGCACTTTAAGCCATAGTGCGGCGGCCACTTTTGCTGCCCTTTGGCCTGCTTGGACGCTGGCCAACAGAGGAGGCGTTGCGCGAGGGGAGGGGGGGGGGCGTGGCTGGAGCGCGCAAAAGTATGCAACGCAATGCTGCACTTTGGCTAAATTACATTTTCAATTTGTCAGTGGCCCCGGGCAGAGGCGGAAACAGCGCCCAGGCAAATGGCCAAAAGCGAAATAGATAAAGCACAAAAGCCCAGCGAATATAATAAAATTTAAATGTAAAAATAAGACAGCACCAGCAGCAGCAGACGGAGGGCGTGGCCAGAGTGCGCCCATCAATGGCAAATTAAGTAGCAACATTGCAAATGTGTTTTTGATATTTTCATTGGACTTGAGATTTTTGGCGCATTATCCAGCAGATTTTTCGGATCTGGTGTCACGCATGCTGAATATTTCATGAGGGGCACCCATATACTCTCTCTCTCTCTCCCCCCTCTCTCTCTCTCTCTTATTGAGAGTCCTTTCGCTTACACAAACTTCCGTTTCGTTTTTTTTAATAACTTTCCATTGTGGCTGTCGGTTTCAGGCACACACAATGGCCTGCCAAGATTCACGACATGTCAACGACTCTCTGTTGTTGCTGCTGTCGTAGCTGCTGCTACACGCTGCTTTATAATTTATGATCCTTGGCTCCATCGACGACTCCTTCGTCATCGCAGCGCAGCGCACACACATGTCGCCAAGTTTCGGTATCATTTTTCAAGCTGCGCCAAAAGTGCATGAATATTAACTGCAAGTGTTTTTCGGTGAACGGCCCGGAACGGCGCAAGCTTTTCCGGCTGCAAACTCCCTGCCATCTTCATCTCCATCTTCATCTTTTACGGTCTACTTGAGCGCCACTTATGATATATTCCTTGTGAAACTTTGAAATGTCAAACAGCAGCGCGTCTGTGAGATGGGACTTCCTGCTAACTTATGCATACGTGTGGCTTAGTTTTTGGCAGCATTTCACAAACTTGATGAAAATTTGCGCAAATTGCCGCTGCTGTCTATTGGAAACGTGTGCTGATGTGGGGCACCTGCTCCTCCCAGCCGGCTAATATGCCCCCAAAGCTTTGGCTAAGCGGACTTAAATGCTGTACAAAGCAGCAGCAGCGGCAGGTAACAAAGCGCTGGCAACACGGATAATTTGCTTAAGCTCAGCAAGCAGAAAATAACATTTTTCGCACAGGTTAACACACACAATGAACGACCTTTGTCCCTTGGTTTGCTCTTGTTTGGCTTTTGCTTATCACATGACCAAAGAAAATTCTCACTGAACAGCTGTCAGCTCCGGGGCAGCTGCTGCAGTTTAAATGTGAATCACCTTTAGCAGAGAAAACAAAAAATCTAAAACAAGCCTGAAAAAACATGACTAATAGTTTGTACAGAAAGGAAAAACAAAAGCCAGACAGAGTGTCAGATAAAAGCTTAGAGCATGGCAAATGACAGACACACAGATACACATGGATACGCACACACACACATACACACACACGCGCGCGCACACACACACACACACACACGCGCGCGCACACACACACACACACACACTGACTGCCTGGCAAATGTTGTCAATTAGTTGGACATCGATAATAATGATCGAATGAGCTGGCATAAAATAAATATACAATTTGGCCCTGATGCCCGTTTAATGGGGCGTATGAGCAATATGAGATAATGCCTATTTAAACAAATTTCGATTTAGGGATGTAATATTAGCAAAGCATCGATAAACGTAGGCTATGGTTGTGCATTTTTAATTTGATTCATTTATTCTAAAAGACCATGTTCAGTTCATGTAAAACTAACTGGTTCACGATCCGAACCTCAAGAACGAGACAAAAGTTCAATTTTCAAACTAATCTTTGATCCTTAGATGTATTTACTTGAATAAAATAGGTAAATTAATTTAATTTTTAGTAACCAGTATTAAAATAATTAAAACACTTTCAAACAAATATTATATAAGAACGAGAAAGAAGGGCTATCTTCGGCACGCCGAAGATTTAATACCCTCGCAGACTCAACCTTTTTATAATGCTCATAGTGCTTTGCCCGCTTCTAAGAAGCACAGGGAAAATAGCTAATGCCGATTATGGTCAAGATATCTTGATAAACAAAAAGTTTTTCATACAAGAACCTCATTTCGACCGATCGTTCCTATGCCAGCTATATGATATTGTAATTCGATGTAAATGAGATTTTGCATAAATGTAGGGAACATAGTGAAACTTATAAATGCCCAGTTTGGTCAAGATATCTTAAAAAAAAAAAAGTTTTCCATAGACCAATGAAATTGTGACCGATCGTTCCTATGATAGCTATATGACATAGTGGTCCGATGTTGATAGGATTTGGTATATATATGAGGCGCATAGTAAAACTAATAAATGCCAAGTTTGGTCAAGATATCTTGAAAAACAAAAAAGTTTTTCATATAAGAAACTACTTTTCGACCGATCGTTCCTATGGCAGCTATATGATATAGTTGCCCGATCCAGCCAATTCCAACAGATGTATTGGGTGCTGCAGAAAGATGAGAGACTAGTTCGCATAGAAATAGACAGACGGATTCGGCTGTTGATACTGATTAAGAATATATATATACTTTATGGGGCCGGAGATGTTTCTTTTATGCGTTACGCATTTCACGACAAAATTATAAGGGTAAAGTTGCAAGGGTATAAAAATATATGGCAAATTTTGTAAGCGCTTTTATGCTTATGTTATAGATAGTGATATAGATAGATAGGGGATAGTAGAAGTTGCGTAAATGAATCTGTATTCTAAAAGAACAATTGACGCTATTCTAAAATTAAACTATATATAATATATGATAACAAACAAGTAAAAATATAAGTTATGCTATGCCCTGTAAAGTGACAGCTCTTCGTCAAAATCTAGAATATTTCAACTTTATGGTAATGGACATATTCTTCATATTGTTACATGACTCCAATAAACTCTGCCAGCATATAAAGCTGGCTTAGAGTGCACAAGTTGAGGCAAGTGAGACTATAATATTTAGGTTTCCGCGCACAAGCGGATCAACAGTTGGCTTTGGCCTCACTTCAAGTGCTGATATAAAAAAAAGCACAAAGTTGCAAACCAAATCGCACATAAGCGGCGCGTTTTGTGGCCCACAACCAGCTTGTCTCCGTTAAGACCATGCCTAGAGAGAAAGGGACACAGGTTGGTGCAAAAAGACGGGCAAGGCTCCGGCTCCGGCTCCGGTGTGTGTGCCTGGCGTGAATACAAATGTCAGCATTGCGAGCAAGGGACACAGTTCATAAATTTTGTAGCGCGCAACATTTTGCTTTGTTTTAACTCATTTGCTGTGGCGCCAACACACACACACAGACACACACACACAGACACAGGGACAGGGACGAGCCCGCCAGGACGTGTGCAACCGCAGACGCTGCCCACGCTGCGCCAGCGGCTATGCAACAATGTGAGCCAAAGTTTCAGAGTCGACGTTGTCGGCATTATGTGCACCGACCGTGACTAATATGCACATGTTCAACTATGCTAGAAAACGTTTTGACAACAACTCCGCACATTCGCACACACATCCCCTCCAACTGGCTCTCCCACCGCCAAAAAGTTGTTTTGACCAACTTGGTATTTGATTTTTGCATTCTGGTTTTTGGTATCTTTGCAGCAGCAACATGGCCAAGGATTTGAGCACTCTCGGCTGGGATTACTTCATGTTTGTTGCATTTATAGCGCTTACCGTCCTGGGACCACTCTGGACGCGCATTTTTGGCAAGACGAAGCAGCGCAGCAAGGCGGATTATGTGTTCGCCACGGGCGGCGTGTCCCTGGTGGCCGTCATGATATCCATAGCACGCGGCACACTCGGCGTGCGATCGGTCTTGGGTAAGTTAAATGCCAGTTGGGCAATGATTAATGTATTAATTGTGTTATGTGTATTTTACAGGGTATCCCAGTGAACTGTACTACCGCGGCTCGGCCATGTGGGAGATAATATACGGCATGATGAGTGCCTATCCCATTGTATGCTTTATGTTTGTGCCCGTCTACTTCAACCTGGGCATCACCTCCGTCTATCAGTATATTGATCTAAGGTGAGTTCCCCCCCCCCCCCCCCTTTCGACAAGAACGAAAACAGGCATTTAATTAGCACAAAGCGACAACATGAAAATTGTTATTTTAGCATTCAATTTAATTTCACAAATGCGACGTGGGTATTGCCCACGCCCAACAGCAATGTTGCCCCTTATCGCAGCCCCGCACAATTTTCCATCTTCATTAAGAAGACCAAAATGAGACCAAACAGACCAGCTGGGCATGCACAGAGAATGGGCACAGGCTGGTTGTTCAGCTAAATAAATTTGAATAACAAACATTTTGCAAAATTAAATACAAAAAAAAAATGAACAACACAAAAACGCGCAAAGGCGCAACAAAATCATCTATACATTTGTCCTTGCCGCGCCAGGACACTACCGACTCCCTACCTCCTACTCCCCACTCCCCTCTCCCCACTCCCCACTCCCCTCTCCCGACTCCAACTCAACGCGTAGCTGTCACAAGTTGTCGCCTCTCGTCGTGCGGCCGCCTTATCGCCCGAGCAGCCTAATTGTTTTTTAAGATTGAAATTAGTAAACTAATTTGTTATCAAATGTTTGCAGTTTCGACAACAAAATTCAATTAATTGCCAAAACTGAGAAGCGCTACGCACGCAGCTCGGGGCAAATCTAAGCAGGAGGCGACAAAACAGCAGCATAATTTGATTCAATTTTAATTGGCAGTGCGACCGAATCTGTAAGAAATTGACAAAATTCTCAAATGTAGCACAAGCTGCCAGTGATTGATAGCCAGATGAGACACACTTTAATATAGCTCAAGAGCGAAAAAGAGATATTAGTTAGAACTGAAAGATTGGCTTCTAATTGCTGAGCAATTATTGTTAAGTTTTGTTTTATGAAACCCTCTTGAAAACAGAATTTATGAAAACTCCATGAATTTTAATTTGACCTATGGCAATTATATTTAATTATTACAATTTATTTTAGACTTAGTATTTTCTTAAAATTCAAGCATTTACTTTCCCATAATTTTAATAAAGTTTATATATTTGAAAATTAATTTCCCCAATTTCCTCCCATATGGTGAAACTTTGAAAATTACTTGTTATTATTTCTAAATAATGAAGCTCTACATTGAAATTGAACATAAAGCCGGAAAAACAACTTTCGCTTTAGAATAGAGCAATAAACCATTAATTTGCAGAAGGATTTTTAAAAATTACATTTTAGCCATATTTCACGAATTTTCCGCACTTTTCTCCCAACAACAACTGAATTAAAAATTTCAGCTTTCCAGCCTTTACGGTTCAGGCTGTGCGGTGATCATCAATCAGTCAGTCAATCGGATTTTTAAAAATTAAATTATGGCCGTTTTTCACGAATTTTCCGCAATTGCGGGTGAATTTCCCAACAACAACTGAATTAAAAATTTCAGCTTCCCAGCTTTTACGGTTCAGGCTGTGCGGTGATCATCAATCAGTCAATCAGTCGGGATAGAGATTGAATTAAGCACTAGAACCCAAACGCTGTAATTTTCGAGCAACCAGTGTAATACGGTTTGCTTTGTTTCAGCTTAAATGAAGGGCAATATTCTGCAAAGCACTTCAGCTAATTGTACGAAGGGAATAGTTCCATGCAGGGCAACCATTGGGGCCATCAATCTTGGTTAGTGGCCTTGTGTTTGGCTACGATTAGCCCCGTCCCATGTGCACATTCGAGATACATGGCGAATTTCATGTGCGATTTAGTTTGATGACAACCAAATGACATTCAAGACAAACCCAAAAGGGGTTGGATGGGTTGGATGGGTTGGACGGGCGGTTGGGAAGCAGGGTCGGCCAGACACAAGATGTTGCCCGGGCAACGAAAAGTTGTAACAAATTTGAAGGCTCATTGTCGCTTGTCAGCGCAACTGGCGCTGCGCGACATGTTTATGCATACAACTCCATCAAAATTGGCAAAAACAGCGACAACGACAAAAGTCGCATAGGCCGATAAGTAAATATGTTACAAATTGTGAAAGCATATTCAGCCCGCAAGTAAGACACAAAGCGAACCTGGCAAAGACAATGACAAACAGCAGACTATGATAATGCGAAACAAATACAATCCGAAAATGATGAACTACAGAATACCCTATAAAAAGCTGCCCCACATTTGCAAACAGCCAAGCATAATCTGAACAAATTCTTTGCTAACTCTCCTGCTGCAAGCTCTAAAGTTCATTTAATTAAGATATGAAATGGAAAGGTTCGCATGCGAAACAAACTTGTTGGGCATACGGATTAGAAATATCAAGTCAAAGATTAAGCCTTCAAGCGCTCAGGGTATAATAAACCAGAAGCCAGCTGAATTCATAAAAGAAAAAAAAAAACAAAGCAAAAAAGAAGAAAGAAAAGAAAACAAAGCGCCCTCGTATAGCCCCAGACGCTGGCACACTTGTGCTCGTTGTTGACAAATTGTATGACAATTCGTTTGTGTCATAATGTTTATAAATAGCGCGTGTTGTTGCTGTCAGGCCAGGCCAGCATCCCGCTTTGACAGCCCACCCAAGACTCAGCCAGTCAGTCAGTCAGTCAGTCAGTCAGTCAACAGCCCAAAACTTGCAAAAACAAAAAACGAACCCGGCGGGAAACTTTAGCATATGAGTACAACCAATTCTTGCATGGCTACATTTTCCATTTTCCTTTGAATCAGGATGAAAAGCAAATTTATTTGCCAAAAAAAACTACCCCAAAAAAAACTGAAAAATCCACTTCTGTTGGCAGTAGAATACCGAGCGAAGATTCATATAGTAAATTCAATTAAATTAAAATTGAATTAAATTAAAATAGTATAAAATGAAATTTGTTTTAAATAAACGAAATTCTAAGGAGAATTTTCTAAGATTCAATTGCATTCCTTTCGAAATTAAACATAAAACATTAATTAATTAATTGATTGCAACCTTATCTAAGTTTTTATAGATTTATAGACTTATTCCTAATACGGTTTATTGTACAAACCTGGCCACACCTAACTTGATTCTAAGCGCATTATAGAACACTCTTGAGTTCTGATTGGCAATTATTATTGTCATTTCTATCTATAGCAAAAAGAAATGATTTTAAAGTAAATAGTCAATAACTGCTAAGTGTCAAGCCAACTATTTTCTCCTTTCCTCATAAATTCTACTGCCAACATTTTATCTGCCGAATCTTACTTAACTATAGAAAGTGAAATAAAACCAAATATCTGTTCTCCGTGCCTTATAAAACAAAGCAATGTGGTTTGTTGTACGCTTGAGTTTCCTGCTGGGAATCATTTCACCAACACACTCACACACACGTACAGCACACACACGCACACACGCACAGTTCGCCTGTCAGCAGCCCGTCGCAAGTGACATCTGCCACTCAGCACATGTCCTTTGCTCTTGTCTTAGGCTGGAGCTGGAACGGGAGCTGGGAGTGATGCGAGCATTTCTTGGTCGAGATTTGTGGCTGACTTTTTGTTTTCGCCACGAGTTCAATGGTCAAGACCTAACGCAGCATGGTGGAAGCGGAGCCCCAGCTTCAGGCAGCACAATTATTACACACACACATACAAGCAAATAAATTGATTTGAGGCTTGTTTCGGCCGTGGCTCAATAAGACACTTGTTAGCACTTAGGGCGCGACACAGCCACAGTGCTCGATTGTAAGTGCATTTGAGTTCCGCTTGAATATTTACGACATACAAGTGCCGTCCAAAGTGCCCCGGGCACACAACACGCATCAAAAGGATGGCTCACTACTGGCAAAAAAAAAAAGAAAAACAACAGGATTGAGGGACAACGCATAAATAAAGAAATTGTTGGCAGCGACTAAGTGAGGACATGATTTGCAATTCAAAGACAACAGAGAGCTGTTGCTGTTAACATGATTTTAGCCCAATTCGTTGGGTGGCTTTTATCACGACCTGATGCCTGATTATGTTTATTTATGCGCCGCATTTAATCCAATCAAAAGGCAGCTACCCAGTTGGCAACAGATTCGCTTTTGATTATAAAATTAACTCGACAGCAATCGGAGCCAACCAGAGCAGCGATTAGTCTCGCATTATGCTCCACTCGCCAGCCACAACTTGCCATATTAAATTTGGAGCCCTAATTTATGCTTTTGTCCATAGCCGAACGGGCTCAAGCTCGGCACATTGATAAATTATGTGTCCGGGCTTAAGCGAATTGTCAATGCGCCAAGCTCCGGCTGCGGGAGTCTTAAGCGCTTTACACGGACAACGCACCAGACCAAGAACAGGTCATAACAGCGCAGCGAGCGGTAATGCATTTAATAAGTGAGAGAGAGAGAGGGGGGAAGCGGGCGTTGCCCGGCAATAAGCATTGTTCGTGGTGGTTAAGTGGCCCTGCTGGTAATCGCATAAACGTTGGCTGCCCGCTGGCATGGCTGCAGCAATTATTGCATACTTTGCGGCGCTTATATTTAATTTTAAGTTATTAAGCGACGTTCGAGCCTTGGATAGACGTTCTGCAATGCGAAGAAGAGGCTAAGTGGGGGGGGGGCAGGTGAGAATAAGCTGGGAGGCAAATCAATTAAAGTCAATAGAACAAAAGCCGCCCACAATGCCAAACAAAGCTCAATCAATTGGGCAAAAGCGGCGACAACGATATCGAAAGCCTCGGGTCATCATTCACACAAAATAGCAAAGAGAGAGGCAAGCGCAGCAAGAGCGAGAGAAAGAGAGGGGGGGGGGGAGAGAAAGGGAGAGGAATAGATGCAGAGCACTTATTGTGATGAACACGATGTTAACAGGCTAAATGAAAACCAATTGCTACAAGCTCAAGACAACAAAATAAAAACACGCACAAAGCACACAGAGAAAAAGATAGAGAGAGAGAGAGAAAGAGAGAGGGAGGGGGAGAGGGGGAGAGATGGCTAGAAACAATAAATCCCATAAATCATATTAAATTGACATATCAGGCAAAAACTGACCGCAAGCGAGCTGTGCGAGATGTCCTGCTGGGCTGCCAAAAACTATAGAACGAGCATGACAATGCCCACAATATGTTGGGCGTGTGTGCGTGTGTGTGTGTGAGAGTGCGTGTGTGTGTGTGTGTGTTTTTATGTTAGCTACAATAAAATTTCTTTATCAATTTCCGTTACACTGTCTGTTACAACAACAAAAACAAATGTGCAAATGCCTAAATAAACGTTTGCCCTGCTCATGATTCTCTCTCTCGCTCTCTCTCCCTTCCACGCTCCTTCGCTTTGTGTGTTGCTTTTCAATAGTCACGCCCCTGGAATTTGCGGTCCGCCTTGCGACATGCTCATCATTAGAGCCACGCAAATTGGCGCGCTCGATTGCTATGCTTAATGGGCTTTTAATAAAGCCGCGGTGGCACTTGCATTATGCTCAGGATATTTTCATGACAATGAGCACACTATTTACATTCCCCAGCTCAGCTCTACACACACACTCTCACACTCTTACACACACATACGCACGCGTTCTTAACTGGGTCAGCATTGTCATAATTAAAATATAACGCATGCGACATGTTGTACACGTTGTCAAGGATGTAAGCCGCTTAAGCCCAAGTGAGCTGTGAATTTACAAACGGGCATAATATGCATTTAAGCGCTTTTAATGCTTAACTTAAATACGAAGAAGAACGGGAGAGGCTTGACTGATTGATATTTACTTATTGATTGACGTCCGTCGCGTTCTATTCGAATCATTTAAATGACTCGCTGGCTGCTCTTAGAGCCCAGAGCTGCCCATTCGTCAGCCAATCATTCATACTTATGCCGGAGCAATAGCTGCAACCTTAACATGCAGATAAGCCCGGGCTTGCTGACAACACGGACTAATAAATATGTATTTGTGGGTGGCTATTAATCATTTAGTGGGCCATCAATAAAGCCAACCAAGCGCATACCAACACTGGATTATGCAGTCAGCTTAGGCACACACACACACACACACACAGCTAAAGCTATGTGTTTGTGTGTATGCATGTAACAGGAGGACAGGGTTTTACTGTAATTTTGCCACTTAGGCCCCAACTGCCAAATATGTCATAAGTGCTCATGTGAGCCCGAGCTCGTACACACACCTACAAAACATTTCAAATGGAAGGAGTCTATTGGTCTCATGCAATTTATACGATATATGTATGTATATAAAACTGTTTTGTCTGTACTAAATGACTGCTGATTAATTAATTAATTAATATATTAATGGGTGGGTTAAGTTTCGGGCCCTAATTTATTTTTAAGAATCACAATTTCCTCGATGAAATGCGAATAAAAGATCTCCATGGATCTTATGTTGGATAAATATCCGCAAATGTCCTAAATCCGCACAGGACGGGTGGATATTCCGAAAAGTGTTAAACCTGTCAAATGGTTTACATTTATTTTTAATCCAAGAGGGGTAAATTTTGGTATAATTTCAATTTTCGAATTTTCTTTTACTGAACTTTAGACTCATTTACAAATATCTAGACGTGAAGTTCAAGATAGAACGTGCAGATTAATGTTTCCACGGGCGGAAAATAAGTGGAAACTGGTGTTTAAGGCTTGAAACAAAAAACTTTGACTAGACAACGCCGGGTAATACCAGCCAATATTAAACACGACTGAATTGAAACGAATTTTATTAAAGATACTGGAAAATAAATTTGAGCCCGCAAAATCGTTGGCCCCATTTCCACCAAGAATTAATAGATTTTTCGAAGAGTGAAACAATTTGCAAATGAATTTATACAAATGTCTTCTATGTTTGAGATCGATCGGATGGTAAACAAAAAATGAAACGATAAAGAAAATTTAGCTTTCAACTCCGTAGAATACTACTAAGGTATTGTACAATTATCCCTTGAATCCAGTAGAAATTCAACACATAGCTCCATGTGATACTAAAAAAATTTTAAATCCTCAATTTGATAATAAATAAAACCGTTGGCCACTATCAATTTACACAAGCAACAGAACATTTGCTAAAGTTAATAGAATTTAATATTGAATCCATCAAACAGCAATTCATGGAAATGCAAACTTTCGTACTTTCGTGTTGTAGCCATCGATTTTTCTTTTGAATACAAACATTAAAAGCAACATTTCATACGTAAGAATTTTTCTATGATTTATAGAAACTATTAGCAAGTTTTCGTAGAAATTTAATTTATTTTTCATATGCTTGAGAAACCTTTTTAAAAAAAACCAAAAGTTCACTTTTCAATTAAATCTCAAGCTAACACACATTTTTGTGGAAAAGCAAATAAAATTCAAATGCAAACATTTAAAGTTGAGAAAAAAAAATCAGTTTACAATCTTATTAATATCCAATTAAGATTTCTCTTTGGGGTACATTTTAGACAAAAGAAAATAAATTATATACTTGCACAAATATAATGTATTTGCTTCTGCTTTAATCCGACGGACTACCAAGCTCCGTTCCCCGACAGCTGTCATAAAAGTCAAGTCTATAGTCAGACCCGCCCCTGATGGGACATCAACAAGTTCATTACACATACTGAGCGATCATTAGAGGACCGAAACTGGATACCTCTTTGGGCCACTTGGCGCCTTGTCGCGCATTTTACATCAAATTAACACACACACACACACACACAGTTTTATAACCATGTGCCTGCTGCCGCCGGCAAGGGACTGCATCATAAAAACCCGACACAACTATAAAAACAATCAAAACGAGTTACGAACTCGCCAATTTTCGTTGTTAGACGACGCTTGCCTCAGCCTCAGCCTCAGCCTCAGCCTCTGTTGCCCTGTCGTAAATTTGTGGCACGGCTGAAACTTGAGCTGCAGCTGCCACGCCTCTCTCAATGCCGCCCACTTATTGTAGGCGCCCTCATTTTACAGCTGCATAAATCATAAAAAAAAAAAGAAAAGGAAAGAAAAAGCAAAAATGCGAAATGAACGCGCTCATAAAAAGGGCAAACCCATTAAAACTTTAATAAACGCAGCTAATAAAAGTAAATAAATGAGAGGGCCAGGCATTGAGCCAGTGCCTCCGCCACTTCCTGTTGCTATTCCTGTTCCCGTTACTGTGGCTTAATTAGCGCTGTAAATTGAGCCGACTACCCGCCCACTAAGGAGAATGTACTCACCTGCCTGCCAACCATTTGCTACTCAATTTCAGATTCAAGAGTCGCACCGTACGATGCCTCGCCTCCGCGACGTATATTGTGCGACAAATCTGTAATCTGGGCATCACAGTATATACGCCCAGCGTGGCGCTATCCGCAGTCATTGGCATACCCTACTGGGCATCCATAGTTGGCATGTCGGTCATCTGCATATTCTTCACCATTATGGTAAGTAGACGAGAGGTCTTCAATGGGCTCTCGTGCCGGCAATTGCTTAATATCGTTCATTTTGCTTTTTTAGGGCGGCCTGAAAGCAGCCATCAATGCGGACGTCATACAGACGATAACCATTCTGGTGGTAACCGTTGCGGTCTGCATTCAGGGCACCATCTCCAGCGGCGGACCCAAGAAGGTTTACCAGCTGAACCGTGAGAATGGTAAGCAATCACTTTTTCGGTTTTCAGGCTAGGCAGATTCGCTCCGATTGATCATGGCAGCTTATTAGCGTGTCCTGTCAAATGGCGTTGCATGTGTGTGTGTGCGCCAGTTTCATATTTATGCTGACGAATGATGACTATTAAAATGACATTCATTTTAGGTTGCTGTTGTTTTGCTGTTGTTGTTGTCGCTGCGTCGGCTCATTATGCACATAAATGATGATGATAAAACCGGCGTATAAAACAGCAACAATCCCCTCCCCCCCTCCCCCCTCGCACAGCAACATCAGCAACAGCAACTTGTGCTGGGCAATTGTTGTTGGGATTCCAGCTATTTTCTAGCTCCATTTGGCTATTTCAAGCAATATGTAGCCGTTTTATGGCCTCTATTTGGCTAGCACAAGCAACCCTGCTTATTGTCAGCTTGTGCTCAGCAAGTTAATTCAGCTATTTTTAGCGACAGTTCGCAACACTGTTTAGGCTGCGCGGCTGCGTGACGACGGTAATAAATGTCGGACGGCAAGGCGTTTGTCACTTTAGCTTGAATCCTTGGCTGTCATTGTAACAATTGCCGAGCTCTGGGAATCTACCCATATGACGAGCCATTAAATACATACATATTTTCCATGCCATGCAACTGCACTAAGCTATACGCACTGAACTTTTCTTTTACTTATGTACCTAATTTTTGTATCCCATAGGCCGCTTAAACTTCTGGAACTTTACCGGCGACCTAACCGTGCGCGTTGATACCACCTCCGCCTGGCTGGGACAGCTGTTTATGTCGCTTTCACAGATTGGTTGCCAGCAGAACTTTATGCAGCGCTATGTCAGCCTCAAGTCGCTGAAGGAGGTGCGAAGGTTAGTTTCCCAACTGGTAACAGACACTACATTCTCACATTTCACAAAAAAACAAGCACAAGCAAAATATCGATAAGTAAAATCACGCCAAATGCGTAATAAATATATCGAAGTGTGGCCGTTTTTACCTGAAGAAGTTATCGATATCCTGCGCTTATTGCAACCGATCATTGACGACAAATCGACTTTGAAATCATGTTTCTAAAAAGTTTTCCTTTTTTTAGGGTCATGCTGAGCAACGTGCCCATAGTTTTTATATTCTTCGCGCTCTCGTGGCTTTCGGGCATGGTGATCTACTCCACGTACATTAACTGCGATCCCTATGCCGAGGGTTACATTAGGAAGCCAGATGAGATTTTGCCCTTCTTTGTAGAGGATCAGCTGGGTTTCCTGCCTGGCTTTGTGGGTATCTTTATGGCCACGCTGTTCAATGGCGCACTCTGGTATTTGACCTGTTAGCTATATCACGCTTACATATGCTAATTTTTGATGATTCTACTAGCATGATGGTCTCGAACCTTAATTCTTTGGCCACCGTCTGCTGGGAGGATTTCGTATCACAGCTGCCAAAATTCAAGGGACTCAGCGACAAGCAACAGTTGAGGATTATTAAAATTGTGACAATTGTTTGCGGTCTCATTATAATGTGCGTTGCCTTCGGAGTGGGCCTGCTCTCTGGCGTTATCGAGTCCTCGCTGTTGGTTTTCTCGGCAACATCGGGACCGCTGCTCGGTTGCTTCATTTTGGCCATGATGGTGCCCGTGGCCAACTGGAAGGGCACATCCGCTGGCATGATAACGGCATGCGCCTTTGTGCTTTGGATAATTAGCGGAAGCATGACCATTGACAAGCCCTCCAACATGCTGCCCACTTCCACAGAGGTAAGAAGCAAGCAAACGCTCGAAATGATTAACAGATTAATCATAGTTAATCTTTTTTAGGGCTGCTCAAACTCAACCTTCTCACGATCCATTGGCAAGCCCAGCAGCGGAATTGATGAGCTGCCTTGGCTGTTAAAGCATACACCAATCGATGGCTACAATCAAACCTTCACAGATCCAACGCCCAGAATTGCTCACGATCGGTAGATAGCACTTAGTTTTTATGGTACAAACATATATAGATGACTTATATCCATATTTCTTGCAGGACTGCTTTGGAGTCGTTCTATTCCATCAGCTTTATGTACTACAGTTTAATTGGAACAGCATTGACGGTTCTCATTGGCACACTCATCAGCTGCCTGACCCAGCACTCGGATGACGAGTACGATGCCAAACTGCTTCATCCGATCATTTTCCGATGCTACGAGCGCCTGAACGTGCCCAAGCCGTACTACATTAAGCATGAGGAGGAATCTGGTCTGAATAGACGCAGCAGCAGCAATTCCTCGGCGACCACCACGGGCAAGGAAGAGAAGATCAACCAAGCTTTTGATGCCAATGAGATGCTTGAGAAGGCGAAGACCAATCCCATAGCTGTGGTCTTTACAAACTCCTCCAATGATGAACGACAGAATTCCATTTGCGATGCGAGCAGAACCCAACTGGAGACAGTGCCGTCGGGCGAAACGGGTATCTATCGACAGCTCGGCTCAAAGACGACTTTCTAAGATGTACTGAAACCCTCCGCAAATAATACATATATGTAAATGAAAACGTAGTCTATAGTTAGTCTATAGTTCGTAAGCTAAGCCATCGTGTAATCTAATTAATGAGGGGAGTTACTCATACACCTTCTGTGTATCAAGTCGATAAAGATGCTGTGATCATTGTACAAGAGTATACTTGCGCATACTGTAATATTTTTGAGAGATATTTTGTGATGCGTAGTGTAGAAAACCAATTTTATGTGTATGTACTTATGTATGTGTAGTAAGCAAATGTAATAACAGAATTTTAAACTAAATATAATTTTGTGCAATAAATAAGAGAAATGTATTTTATTAAAAGTCAATTGCAAATATATAATTCCTAAAACTTGCGATATATCGCAAATTTGGTTTGTTTGATTTTTGATATTTTAAAAGCTTAGAATAAAGTACATATGTATTTATAATATATTTTTAAAAAATTCTTGCCCACAAATATTTTCAATAGTTTAGCCCAAACTCAGAGAAACCGTTAATTTTAATTTTCAAATCTTTCGTCAAATGCTCTTCAATTATTTACGTGCAAGAAGTGCTGCCATTTTCTTCGTACTGATGGTGCTGCCCATCAAACATGCGCTCAGCTGCTTATCGATAACAATTTCACTTACAGCTGTTCGGCAACAGTGCTGGCAAATGCTTATTAGGTCGATTAAAACTAAAGCTAACAAATTATGTGCTTAAATCTTAAGTAAATATATAAATACAATGCCCATTTTAAGGCACCAGAGCAATAATAAGCGAATATGCGCATATATCGTTGTCGCATTGTCGTACATTGCATATAGTCCCTGTAATATGCATATACTCAATATGGTTAAAATCAGCTGAAAAAACAGCGCATCACTGCCAATAACAATCAGTTTTGTAGGGGGTTTTATTGTTAGCGGCGCAACGAAATGCAAAGCACGCAAAACTTTGCCAGGCAAAGTCTAGGAGATATATAATTTTCGACAAAAATGGCTACTTTGGCAAAGCCAAAAAAAGAAGTATGTATCCATGTAATTGTATTTATATATGTATATATGTAAGCAGCATTCAATTGTAGAAAACAAAAAAACAAAGGGCGGTCCACGATCGCCAGCAAGAGGCAGAGGAGAACGAGAATGAGTTATCATCAAATATTGACCACGAACAAAGACAACTAGAAAATGCGTCGCTGCTGGAGGAGTTCGAGCGTGTTGCTGCACTGGCCAGCAGCAGCAACAGCAAAGCCGAAGCCATCATTAGTCACGACTGTTGCATATCAAGTGACGTAGTCCCGGACGAGCAGCTAGAGATAACGACAGCAGCAACAAATACCCAGGCACCTGCAGCTAGTGAGGAGCTTGAACCAGCGCCCAGCGCACCATGTGCACCTGTTGCCCCTGCGGCATGCGTTCCATTAGTGCAATATCCCAATCTGGCGCCGATACGAGTAGCCAATGCGCTTGTCGAGGAGCAGAGGACGCCGATTGTTTTTAGGGAACGGGTGGCGCGCTCGCCGGGCTTTGCGCTGGCCAGCAGTCATCTGAAGCCGTTTAGCAGCGAGCAGCTAAAACAGATCTATCAATGCACCGACCTGGAACTGGTCAAGCAGTTCGAATTGGAGTTCCTAATGAACACACTACTCGAATCCAGTGAAACAGATCCTCTCTATCTGGCACTGCAGGAGTACTACAACTTGCAGGGCAAGCTCTCATCGAATTTGCACGATGTCAAAGACAAGCGCAAGGAATGTCTGGACACGCAGCAGCTGGTCTGGACGCGAGAGCAGGTGACACGCAGCTTCAGCGCCAGCTGCGGCGATGGCAACGTTGTGCGGGAGAGCATAACTTACGAGTAAGTGAGCCGATACCTAAATCCACTTCAAACTCATTAAATAACATTAATTATTTTGTAGCCGCATTAAAGTTGACCCAGTTAGGTTGGAATCTGCCACCGCGGCATTAACACTCCTCTACGACCTGGTGTGCCATACATACACCACCAACCTGATTGAGGCAAAGATAACAAAGGTCAAGATCGATCAACTCATTGACGAGCTGCTCGCGTATCCTGTGGATGCCCAGGCAACAATTGTTCTGCACAACCAGTTGGATGCAGCTGCTCTGCAGTGCGTGGCCAAACTTAGACGCGCCATCTGCATCCTCTTTAGCTTTGCGCGACGACCTAGTCCGAATGCGGTATTCCTTTTAATATTCTCAATCTGTGAATGCTCACTAAACAAATGTTTTCACCTCCAGAACTTTGATGCGGATCTGAAGCTGTGGCTGCGCAAGCTTGTTGCACTGCAGCTGTTGCTGGCGACCAAGGAGGATCATTGGTTTCTGCTCTTCAACATTTTGCGTTGCCCCAACGGCGTCGGCGCCTGGGCTGCCGAATTTTTGCAGCTGCCTGGCATGGTGCAAGCACTTTCAAAGTCAAATGGAACGCAGCCCAATGAGCTGCCTCTGCCACTCGATTCCCCAGAAATTAATCACTGCATAGCTGTGCTGCAAATTCTGCTGCTGCCCATTAAAAAGCGCAACGAGTATCTCAAGAGTCAGGCCCAAGCGCAGCGGGAGCTCTCGGAGGCAACTGGCGGCGGTGAGCGCTGGACAGTAGTCGACTCGGATGGCGAGGATACATTGACGCCCACAGGCGAATGTGTTGGCCTCAAGGAGACCGATCTGATAGCACTGCTCAATCAGCTGCCATTCGATAAACTCTTTACGTAAGCTCTGCTCTGGCCTATACACGATTGTCTAACTATAGTTATCTTACTTGACAGCTCCGCCTTGTGCATTGAGAAATTCCTGAATGACTACATCATTGAGCCGGACATGATAACGCCTCAGCAAATGCTTACCGTAGTTGCCTTTTTTGCACAATTGGTGGAGACGCTCGGCGAGGGAATGATGACATACAACAACGAGCGATACAAGCAACTGGCCAAGCGTCTGGGACGCCTGGTGCGCCATTCGCTGCAGTACGCCTCCGATTACCATGAGCTCTTTCTGTAAGTTAACCATGGCAATGTGCATGTTTTCAGGCTAAATCCCGAGTCTATTGCTATTTGCAGCAACAACAATCTGCCCAAGTCGCAGGAGCTTAGCGAGCGCATCGAGCTGGAAATGCAAGCATTGCTTATACGCGCCTGCAGCTACATTTATCGGACACGCAATTTGGGCACTTGGCAGTATTTCTCCACGCTGCCGTACACCACGCTTCATGCGGACATTATTTGGCATCTGTTCTACTATCTCAACGTGGGCTTTCCCAGCGATTTGACTACCCAACTGACCGCCGATCCGGAGGCCGCATTTCAGACGGATTTCTGGAGCAAGTTTGATGTGGCCAATGCGGATGTGTCCGCCGAGGATATGTACTATCTACTGCAGGCCTTCTTCGAGATGGCCAATGCACGTGATCGCACCAAGGACTGGCCGATAATCCGCATCATTTGCTTAACCATCTTCCAGGTAGCTTATCATAGTCAATGTTTCCACTTTGTCGCTTAATACTTTCTAACTTCCGCAGATTGGGTATATTCATCAAGGCACTCGCGAGTTCTGCTACAAAGCCGCACGAGATATGCTCATTAGCATTACCCTGGCTTACGAAGAGCTCTTGGATTGCCTGTTGTTGCAGCTGAAGACGCGGTTCGCTGAGATCGAACAGGCCGCATATCTGTTCAAGGCCCTGCCGCTGGAGATTTGGCGCCCAAGCATGGACAGCTTTGAGCTGCTCTCGAACTGGTTGCTTCACTTTGATTACCAGACAGCCGAAAATCGACTGGCGCGTCTGATCATTGGTCATCTCAACTGGAGCTTTGATGACGAGGGTCGCCTTTATTTACAACATAACATTCACGTACGCATGGCTTGTCTTGTGGCTGAGGCTATAACTAAGCACGCACCGGAGGTACTTGGTGCCTCTAGCATCTCGGAGAGCGTGCGGCAGGTCTCCTCGCTGATCGACTCGACGCAGTCCAGCCGAGAACAGTTCACCAACTGGTGCTGGCGTATGATATCTATGCTTCGTCTGCATCTGATGGATCAGAGTGTGGAATCTGTTAAGCGCACGCTGCAGCATCCGACGGAACCGTTGCTCTTTGTGCCAGACTTGGAGCGTCTGGAGATGATTTGGCAGGGAGTCACCGAGCAGCGCCCACTCGCACTGTATGTCGCCGTTTTGGTCAGCTTGCATGGTCATTCGATACCGCTTATATGCCAGCATGGCTTCGAGCTGCTCCAACAGCTGCTCGGCGACCATCGCCATGCGGCTGTCATACGCAGCCTCGAGCTGATTGTGCCGCTGTTCCTTGAAACGCCCGATACGCTGGCCAACTGTGAAAGGTAAGGATTAAACAAAATCAACTTATAGAACTACTTCAGCGCATTTTTTTGACAGTTTCCAGAAACTGCTTATGACGCTGCTCAATGCGGACAGAACTTACCTGAAACTGGCCAAGGATATGGTTTATGCCAACTCTGTTGGTCCCATTCTCGAATTGCTGGATAATATGCTGCATCATCAGATTGTGTCGTATACCAAGTAAGTCTTAAATCCTTAATATTTGATTGATTACTATCACGTCTTTGGCTACCTTCTAGCTACGGTCTCTGCTCGCCTCTGAATCTTATCAATATCTGGCTCAATTGCTTTACTGGATTACCTGGCTGGGCCCAGAATGCGCACGTTCTGTACCTTCTGGATAAGATGCTGCGCATCGCCTACCAGTTCGCCGATTGTCGGGTGCAGGCCGTCGAGTTCTTTTACAACTACTACAAGGTAGATGACAGAAATTGTATTTCATTAGTTTCGGATATAAAAATCCTATTTTGCAGGACTGCACCGACTGGAAGACACCACCAAAATCTTCGGCACTGAAAGCACTATTTGGCGGCCAGGCAAACTTGCGTATACCCGTGCTCTCGACCCAGAATTGCTGGTTAAATCTTGTGCTATTAGAGATTGAATTCAGGCTACAGGACACACGCTTTTGGGCAGAACTCTTGCGCCAGCTGTCTACACAAACAGTGGAGGCGGCACTCAAGAAAACTCTATCGTTCAGCAAGACGAATAGCTTTCCGGCCCAGCAGCTGGTCATCTACAAATACGCGCAGCTGCTGGCCAGCATGGATATCAGACACGCGCTCTTTCCGATCGTCTGCCAGAAATTCTTTGAGCTCTATCTGTGGCGGGTTCCCGCGGAATGCGATGCACAGAATCTGAATCTTAACTTCGGTGTCGCCGAAAAGTTCTACGAGCACAACGTAACTCTAATGAAGTCCATTAAGACGCAGCTTAAGTCGGCCGAGGTCTATTACGCTGCTATTGCCACAAAGCGCGCCGAGGACGATTCGGCCGCGCACA